TGACTCAACCAAGTCTTTCTCTGCGCATTTCTCCTTGTCAACCAATTCATCTTCTTCTTCATGTTCTTCCTTGATCACCTTAGGTTTCTCTTTGATTTGCATAATGAGTGGGAAATGGAAGGCTTCATTGGTCTCCATTCATTTGTCCACTCTCTCTACTCTCTCTCTGTCTCTTAGTGCCTTCTTTCTCTCTTTTAATGAAGGGGTTTTTGCATAGAACGGTGGGTTAGTCCTACCTCGCTCTAGGTGATCGAATCGTTTGATTGTTTGACGGTGGAGGTCGGCTAAGTCCGCTTGAGTCTCCTTGAGATATTGACTAATGGCGCCCACTTGACCTACTATCCAGTCTAGAGTCCTCCCAAGTCGATGCTCTGATACCAAACTGATGTAGAACGGGAGAGGCTATGCTAAGGAGAGGATCTCCTCTCCGAATATCTGACAGGAAGCCCTGATTTCACAAAAAACCTGAGAGGAATTCTCAGATTTTCTCTTGAGAGATGTAGAGAAAATTTGGGGAGAAGTCAAGCCTTATTGGAGAAGAGAAAAGCTGAGAGGAAACTTCCCTTCACAGGTTATGGACTAGAGAGCGTGTCTAGTGTAATTAGGAGAGAGGGATGGGGAATCCTTGGCTGCAGTCTTTAGTAGGTAGAAAGTTCCATGTGGGATGAATTTTGAGAAGGATTGGGTGTAGAAAATCAACGTACCGAGCTTGTGTTAATTTGGCCAGCACAGCGGAGGATAGAATAGGAAATATGAGAGGGAGGGGAGAGGCGGTGACAGAAAAAAAAAATTTTTCTCAGATTGAACCTGGTATGCATGACGAATCACCCGTCAGTCTTCGGAAGAGTCCAAGGCTCGCGGTTCTTAATTTTTCTAGCTTTCGTTTTTATCTCTTCTTTATTTGTTTTGTTCCATCGTCGTCCTCATCCCCATCTTCATTTGGTCACCGGATTCATCTCTACCCGAAATCCCCCATAGCCTCGGCCAGACTCCAACCCCGTACCCCTTGCCATCGGACCAAATTCATTGCCGCCGAGCCTCCGTCCCCTAGCTCCCCTCCTTCATTGTTTTCCCTACCTAAATTGGATTGGGCCAAGTTTGGACATATTTTGAAATTCAAATTCAAACAATTTGAATTTTAAAACTTGCCTAAATTACCAATTCTATTTTAGGAAAGTTCTTAAATTAAAACTCTTTGAAATTCAAAGTCAATTTGGATTTAATGCCATGCTTTCCTAATTCCAATTTCCAAATCCAATTTCCTTAATTCATCACGTAACTGCTCCTTGGCCTTAATAGCCGCCGGCCCCCAGTAAACAATTCCAGGGAAATTATTTCCAAATCATACCCCACCCTTTTGGAAACAATCTGAAATTCCCCCTTTTCATAACCGAAATTTCCTCCTACTGTTTCCAACTAATTGACTCCTAAATCTTAGGAGATTAATTAGGGAATTCAAACCCTCTCCCAAGCCTCATCCTGCCAGTCCCTCTCTCCCACCCGTCTCCCCCCTCTCTCTCCAAACCCCTCCATCTTTCTCATTAATTATTGTCATTAAAGACCCATAATCACTCCCTAAATTCAGGTTAATTCAAATTTTGAATGAGGATTGATTTAATCCCTTCACTCTTAATTGAAAGTTAACAATTTGTTGTCCGCTCATGGCCTTAATTCTTTCATAAAAGCTGATTTCAGGATTAGGAACTCATTTAATTCTTTCCCAGCTCACAGTTTTTTCGTTGGAATTAATTCCAGAATTTTCCTCTCACATCCAAATCCTGGAATATTTGTTCAATTGCTGCCATTAGTTTTATTCTCACTATTGGACAGTTTGTTCATTTCCAACACAGAATTCTCACATCCAATTTTTCAGATTTTGTGAGCTGAGATAAATCCAGATTTATTTCAGTTTTTGCAAGCAACAATTTCAGATTTTGGAGAGTAGATCCTCTCCGTAGCAAAGCCGGCGTTTTCATTCTACATCAATTTGGTATCAGAGCATGGACTCGGATCGACTTGGAAGGACTCTAGACTGGATGGTAGGTCAAGTGGCCGCCATTAGTCAACATCTCAAGGGGACTCAAGCAAACTTAGCCGACTACCACCGTCAGACAATCAAACTGTTCGATGACCTAGAGCGAGGTAGGAAGGACCCATCGCTCTACACCTCTTCAAGATCCCCTTCATCAAAGGATAGGAAAAAGGCACTAAGAAACAGAAAAAGAGTGGATAGAGTTGACAAATGGCTGGAGGCCAA